CCCCAAAACCCCAAAACCCCAAAACCCCATGTGGCAATAATATACATTGGCATTTATAAATATGAATTGATTATAATAATTATTTAATTAGATTTTGAATGAGCAATCAGAAAATTAGCAATGATTTACAAAAAAATGTATTATTTTTTCATCTCCAATCACTTTTCCCGATATAGGTGAGACCTACAACAAATACTTAACCTATAGTGAGACCAATAGATAACAAAACAGGAAATTTAACATACAAGGAGAGTTAACTCTATCCTAATTACAGGTCTGAAATGGACGGCCTTTCATACAACGTTAATGATGATGAGGAAGGAGAGGAAGGTGAGGAATACGAAGAAGAAGGGACTTAAAATTAAAGCCATGCTTAATCTAAATTAAGAGCAACTGGCTAACCTGCTGGCTCATAAAATGATAATCTTTCATTAATGCAAAGACAAAGAGCACTGAGTAAAATATCTGATAATTAGAAGCAAATATCTAATGTAAGCAATTTAGCGTAGTAACAAAAGCAATAATAGTTACCAAGGTAGAAACTCTAGCTTTAATCTTAGCCAGACTTCAATTAAAATCAAGATTAATAGCTTGCAAACTAGAGTTCCCTGAATCAATCAGCCATCAGTAACTAACAAAGAAATATCTCAAATTAAGGTTCCTTAATATCTCAATAGTAATAGCAAAATGCGTCTCATTACGGCAATTAATAAATCTCTCCTCTTTCAAATACTTACCTCTAATCTAATAACTATTAAAGAAAAGAAGAGCCTTCAGTAAAATCCATTAAATCACAGCCAAAAGAGGCATTTGATGAAGCTTGTAAGATATTGAGAAAATTTATACGAATATTTTAGATAACCGTGGAAGAAAAGTTACATCAGAAGATGAAAAATAGATATATATGCTGAAGCAAGAAAATGAGCGTTACGTTGAGGATAACATACTTTTGAAGGCAGAAAATGATAGGCTAGTTAAACTAATATATGATAAGGAGAAGGCTGATCAGCAAAAGTACTATTCCGAGTTAGATATTAAGGATAAAAAAATAAAGAAACTCGACATTGAAATTGAATAGTATAAGAAAATAGTCGAAGAACTTAGAATAGACTTAGTGTCCAAGCAGCTTGATAGAGATAGTTTGAAAGCATAACTCATAAATAAAAGTTTCTCGCCCATCTTATTCCTAAATGACTACAGCAGGAATGAATTTTGGAAGATGATTACTAGATATGAAAGTGATGCCTTGACTTTCTAAGAGGATAAAATAACAATATAGCAAGAAATCCTTGAGTAAAGATCTATCATAGCAAGACAGGAAACAGAAATATAGGATCTCAAGAAGCAGCTGGATGATTACTTTGTTATAAGGAGTGAATTCACAAAGATGAAAATGGAGTATGACAAGTTATATGATAGATACTCAGAAGTAGAGCATCTGCAGAAGGAGACCAACTTGAAATTTAGCGGCTTAGAGAAATCTTACTTTTTCTTGGAAAAGGAGAGAGAGTCTTCCCACTCTAAAATTCAGGAGCTGAGCAATCTGCTGCATGAAAGATCTATTGAATCTAATAATGAAAAGAAAGCACTGAGAGAATTTTTGCAAAGATTAGAGCAGGAAAAAGGTTTGGCTGAGGAGGCTAACAAAAGAGAAAAGGATTTCTCCAGTTATAGAATAGGGGCAAAAGTGTCGAGACCTTTTAATCTTAGTGACTACTTCGTAAGACTTAAGACAACTTCAATTTCAAGTGAGAAGTATGCTGAGACCATTGACATTCTATTTGAACTTCTTAAAACAGAACAAGCCAATTCCTTGAAAACTGCATCTAAAACTGACTCGACTAGTGTCAGCTCCCAACTCAAATTAAAGGATCACTACAAATTATTCCTAAAAGCGTTTTCATCCAAGAATTCGAAAGTCCTACATTGCTGCTATAAAATTGTAAAGGAACTGGGAGATATTGAAGATAGAGTGGAGGAATTTGTCGAGAATCAAGCATCTGCTGCTTTAATCAAAACTTACAAAACTACGGATGATTATGCTATAAAATAAGACACACTATATTTCTTGAAAAGTAAACAATAAATTTATTGACTATTCAGTTCTTTGTGATGTGAGTGAGACAGTAGCAATAGAAGTAGCAAAATATGGGGCTACCTAGACAATAATTGATGATTTGAGGAAATATACTAGAGGAGTAAATGTACTCTCCCAATATCTAGTCGATTTATTAGATTTCATGTCAAAGGTTTGTAAATTCAGTCAAGGTCATGTAACTATTAAAATTATTTAAACCAAAATATAGGCAGAATTTATATCACCCAACTGTATGAGCAGTTTAGTTTTATGCTTAAATGTAACAAATTATTTAAATCTATAAATTTGATATAGTCTGACAAGGCAGAAAATAAAATACACAGTATGAACTGCATTGTATACCTGGCTAAAACTTAGGAAAATAGACAAGCACTCTCAAATTACGACGTATTTAACATTGTTATGACGAATTTGATACGATCAGTGGAGTCTAAAGAGAGGAAAGTTGCAAATGCTGCTATTGGAGCACTGGCTTATTTTTCTTTTGAAAGAGCTTATAGAATACTTTTGGCTAATGCCAACTAGCTTTTCAACTTCTACGAACTACTTTTGTAATCAATTCAAGGTTCAGCTAGTGGAGGTAATGCAACAGGAGCAGTAGATATTCCAGCCTCAACCAGATATGCAGCGGCTGTCATCATTGCTAAGATGCTTGGTGATAAGGATTTGTTTGGAGTTCATGATAGCATAATGAAAGAGGGAGTTCTTACATATCTGGCAAAGGGTCTGAGAGACAAGCAATCAAGTGTAAAGAAAGAATGCGCATAAATTGTGATTCATCTATCAAAATACATCGATAATAAACCTGAGTCATTTAGGCCATTAATAAATCCTCTTATCAGCTCTTTGGGTGATGAAGATCAATCACTTGTGGTAAAATCACTTGATTGCATAAGAACACTCTCATTCAACGACAAACTGAGAGATTTCATTGTAGATAATGGTTGTGTTAGTATTCTTTGCAGTACCATAGTACAGGAATTGGCAGAAGTTAGTGTTGAAATACTAAAGCATTCAGTATCTTTATTGGTAGTACTTATATCAAATGCTGATGCCAGACAAATTATGTATGAAGCGTCTGTCATTTTACCACTACTCTCATTTCTATCTTCTGAAGATATTGAGGTTAGAGGCTTATGGTATGAAGGATTAAAAGAACTGGGAGCTTATTCAAATTTCAGAGCACAACTTGAAAATGCTGAAAACTCTATGTTAATATTAAAAAGAGCCATCAGGCAAGCTGAAACTACTTTTATACTTTAATTGATTGCTGTGGTAAGAGTTCTCTGCCAAAGTCCAATTTTGCTAGATAGAATAATAGATCCAGTTACTGTCCCTAAATTATTTGAGATTTATAATGATGCGATGAAATGGGCTGACTCCAATATAGAAATCTATGTACTTTAGACTTTAAGATTATTATTCTCAAACAACAATGGTAAACTTCATGTATTAAAAAATGAATTAATGCTTGCTTACGCTTCAAGTTGTCTTGCAAAAGAAAATGTAAATGTAGCTAATGAGGCTGCATCATTGCTTATTGAAGTACTCTAAGAATCTCGTAAGAACAATTTCTCATAACTCTTGTCTTTTAGATTAATCATTGCAAATATTCGCAAGAATACCTGTAGTCAATAACCTAATAATATATTCCAAGATCAACAATTCTACAGCCGTTACCAGAGCTAATGAACTAGCTAAAATAATCAAGACTATTCGTAATATTTAATTTCTGTTTAAACATTTTAGCTTTTCTATATAACGAGTTCAAGTCAAAATTGCAATAATAAAATTTATGAACCTAATTCATTAATCTTAATTTCATAAATTATCAACTCTGGCAATTAATGAATCAATATTTCATGGGGTTTTGGGGTTTTGGGG